TCACAGTCAACAGCTGCTGACACAGCCCTGTATGAACCATGGCATTGTTCATCCTCGAGGGGTAACTCTCTAGCCATGAGCTGGGACTTGGTCCTTTCTCCTCAGCAGCCACCAGCATGGTAGAGCACCCTAAAGCCCATCACTGCACATAGCACAGCACACTCGTCTTCCACGTTATCCCACTTTCTGGAGCACACTGACTAATTTTGAAAGGATGCATCAACAGAGACACAGGCAGTTAAACATTAGGTGTGGACACCCAGACAAGGTTGACACATTCTTACATCATAAAAACTGTGCTGTGCAAGCACAATGGCACCATGTTTTCTCTAAATGGGTCATGTAAGTGTCATGAACTGGTTACAAAATCAAAGCAAGAGCAAAAGCAGGGCTACTTCAGAGCCTTCACATAAGGAAGGAGCCACACGTTGCTGCCAGCAATGAGTGTCACAGTGATAACATGGTCCCAATACTGAAGTATTGACTTGAGGCATAAGGCAGTAATTCACATGTATGTATTCCTTTCATCCTTGAGCACCTGAAAGCTTACAAATTACATCACTATTTTGAAAAGGCCTGTATTTAAGTAAAACACAAGAATATTTAGAACTAACTTCAGAAAACCAATACCACCATTACAGACTTTTTGCTTGACAATCAAGCAATATTCTCTGCTCTACTCCATCCTCAAATATGTCTTTTTAAATAGCTATGCCAGCTCTGTGCCTCCCACACAGAGGCTGGGAACGTCAGCTGGAAGCTGCCTGTTCTACTGGGGCTGTCTTAGGATTCCATGTGCAATAGAAATCCTCCACATACTCTACAGGCAACTGCCTCTGCTTAGTGAGAATCACAGCTCAAACTCAACCTGAGTTGCAATTTTACTTCTCCTTCTTTCCCAGCATGGAAACATCAGGAACCATAAACACTAAAGATGAATTTCAGAGGACAAAACACACAGAATGGAAAAACAAAGCAGACATATTCTCCTTTTAGCCTTTTTGATCCTACTTTCCTGAGTTCTCCCTCACAAGGTTCACACTGGCTAGAGCAATGCCTTCAATACCACAACATTATTGTGCTCTTAATTAAACAAATGACAAGGGACATGTGCTAAAGGTGGTTTTCCACAACACCCACTCAAGAAAAAAAAAATACAATTCAGTACAGACATCTGTTAAATATATTTATGGCACACTTTAGTGATCACTGCTGGGTAACCTTACTCTTGCTAACACTCTTGCCCAGCATTCCTCCTCCCCAGCCTACAGCAAACTATTGTGACAACCTTTGTGCTGGCAGTCAGGGACCGTGGGACAGGTGGGAATGCATCCTGCTGGGGATGTCTCCTGCTATGACTGCAAACTCCAGGGTATAAAACTGGCCCCTGTAGCCTGCACTATAAAACCAGGTGATCTTATACAAAACTCTTCCTTTAATTATCTGTAGCCTGGTAACACATAAAGCACAGTATTCATTATCTGAGCAAGCACTGGCCCAGCTCAAGCACCCAGCCATCCCAAATCTCTCTGGAGCAGGGGCCTCACCAGGCACCCAATTCTGTCCTTCTCTTCAGCTAGAATCTAGTCACCCAGCTTTGTGTTGGTAAACTATTCACCAGTCCCACAGGCTACAGCCCAACAATCTTTTCCTCTCATTCCCCACCCTCCAAACCTCAAAAAGCTGAAAACAGGCCTGTTCTTACCATGATGCAGTTGGGCTTGCTAACTGACCATATGTTGACCCGACAGTCATCTCCTCCAGTGGCCAACATCCGGCCTGAACCTTTTCCCAGGACTACTGAGGATACATTGCTGCTGTGGGCCACGATCTCTTCTGCACAAAACAAAGCCAACAGTTATTACAGACTAGTATAGCAATTTTCATCTCATTGCTCCAAAAGCACTAAAAAATATTCTTCCTCCAGAAACTTTACAGTTTTCTACAGACAACCTGCAGCAGCCCATTGTTCAGATAAGAAGTCACACTATTATCTTGTTTGAAACATTCTCCCTCAGCTCTGCCTGCTGTACTTAAGACATTTGCTGACCAAAGCTTCACGACTCCAGTGCCCACATGGCTTACAGAAAGCATCTTCTCCCACTTGCAGCAGCTCAGGAGCTTTTAAAGATTTGCTCAAGTGAAGCACGCTGAGCACAGAAGGTCCCTTACCTGCAATAATGCACAGCAGCCAGAGTCACCTAGTGGAAGGCTCTCTAATCCTGTTCTAGAAAGCAGCAGCAGCAGACAGTCTAACCTGAGAGGAACTGGCAGATGAGCAGTGGTACAGTTTGTTACCCTACCCAGAAAAAAAGTTGGACTCAGCAGCAGGGAGAGGTGGAGCTCCCTTCCCTGAGCTTTGGCAGAGGCTTTGCTACATACCCACTAATACAGGCAAAACTGAGCACTGCAGAGCATGAAACTGTGACAAGGGAGGGTGAATGTCTATCCAAAAGGGCAGAAAAGAACAAATCTCATTAATGCTACATGACTGTTAAAAAAATGGGGGATAAGGGGAAGCTCTGATGCTGCAGCAACAGAACTCTATGGAAACCTCATCATAAAGAAACCAATTTGGGGCAAAAGAGAAGCTGAATGAGCATCTTTGCTTAGACATCTCATTTGCACGGTGGACTTTTAACTCCACTCAAATTCTTGGCAGGGGCTTTTGGGAGATGCATTTGCATGCCTAATAGTCATGAAACTTGTCCGTAAAAAGGCTCAGGAGCACTGATTCAGCTTTCATTCAGATTGTTTGGATGGGAGGAGTAACTTGAACATTTTACACGCAGCACTAATCCAAAAGGATATCAGACAGCTGCAATAATAATTACAGGTACTTTGATCTCGAACTCTCAGAGTGCTTTTTTGAAAGCAAAACGGTCCAGCTTTCACCTGGGCTGGGGAAACACCTTTCAAATTACAAAGGTAACCAGACCATAAACTACATGCGAAGGGCAAATCTGAAAATATGCTTGTATTGTGTTGAAAGACCAAACTTCCACATGACAATGGTAAAACAAAGTGTTCTTAAAACATGGACTAGAAGGCAACCAACAGTACAATTAGCATTAATAGACAACTCACTAGTTAAAATTGAAAGGACAGCTGCAGAGCATTGCTGCTGAAATGAGTGTGTCAGCAGCTCTGCTTTTTCCTTCCTCTTGATTTCATTCTTAATATTATATTGTAACTTTATAAGCGTTGGGGAAGCATCCAACCCTTTGTTCACAAAAGCCAGGTGATAATCAGGAGTCTGCCTTGGCCAGAGAGGTTCATTCGCTTCCCCATAAATCTCCTTAAACCCACAAACTTTTTTGTTTCATTTCTTGTCATCAGCTATCACTCACCAGCCCAGAAACACTAAACTCCTAATTAGCATTGCTGAAACACTCCTAACACTCAGAATGCTTCTTGCTCTAAGTAGGATGTTAAGATGGGGCAGAGTCTGACAAAAACGAAGATCAAGAACTTCTGCCCACTTAGGGAACGGAGATAGATCGACTTCCAGCTTTTCCTATGACCGGAGTTTCAGGCATGGGAAGATAACACAGTAAACTGGCTTTCCTGCTCAAAAAGATACAAAATTGCTAAGTCAACTATCTCAGACTCCTTCATGTGTTACCAGTCAAGGATACTGTATTTCTGCTGCCCAATTTCTATAACGCACATCAAAGATCTACAGCAAATGACCGCATTGCATTGCTTCTGAGCATTCCTCGAAAGCTCCCATGAAATAACTCACCAGTGACCAGCGAAGCAGACAGAAATTGGTAGTCAGCAACTGTTAACTGCTCCTTCAGAGGAAGAATGGACATAAAAGCAGCAGATTCTTACTGTCTCTTGCAAAGCAATTTCAAGAGAGACGCACAGGCCCTGCAAACTCGTTCCTCCTACAGCAAAGAGCTCAGTGAACCTTCTGTAACCAGTAAGCAGCAATGAAGGACAACCCCAAATGGGCTAAGTCTGGGGCTTCCTCTCTGACACTGAGGGGATTCCCAGCCACAACCTGGGCTCTGAAGGGGGCTTTCCATTGAACCACAGAATACCCTAAGCTAGAAGGCACTCACGAGGATCATTGAGTCCAACTCCTGGCCCTGCACAGGACAGAAATCCCACCATGTGCCCAAGAGTGTTGTCCAAATGCTTCCTGAGCTCTGCCAGGGCTGCTGCTGTGACTTCCCTGGGGAGCCTGTTCAGTGCCCAACCACCCTATGAGTGAAGAACCTTTTCCTAATATCCAAACTAAACCTCCTCTGGCACAGCTCCAACTGTTCCCTCGGGTCCTGTCACTGGTCACAGAGAGCAGAGATCGGAGCTGCCCCTCCACTGCCCCTCGTGAAGAAGCTGCAGCCCACAGTGAGCTCTGCCCTCAGTCCTCTGCCTCTTCTCCAGGCTGAAAAGCCGAGAGACCTCAGCCACTCCTTGTACAGCTTCCCTCTAGACCCTTCACCATCTTTGGATGCTCCCTAAAAGCTTTATATCCTTTTTATACTGCGGTGCCCAAATCTACCCCCAGGACTTGAGGTGAGGCTGCACCAGCACAGAGCAGAGTGGGACAATCCTCTCCCTTGACCTGCTGGTGATGCTGGGCCTGATGCACCCCAGGACGCACTGGTGGCAAATATCCAACCCTTGGGGCTACCAGGGCACACTGGTGGCTCATATCCAACTTGCCATCGACCAGGACCCTCAGGTCCCTTTCCACAGGGCTGTTCTCCAGCCTCTCGTCCCCCAGTCTATCTGTACATCCAGGGCTGCCCCGAGACAGGTGCCCCATCCCTCACTGCCTCCGTCGTTCTTGTACCACATCGGAGTCACGCAGGGCCAGCCGGGCATTTGGGCTAGCAGCAACCAGAAAAAGATACAGGCCGTGAGTGACCCTTCGGCGACAAGGCTGCGCTATTTCCCGTGCCGCTATGTTTTCAAACGAGGCTTCCTGGAGTTAAAAATTCCAGTCGGCAACGTTCATCCCACACCCAGGGCAGGGATGAGCTGGCTCATACCACCCCCGCCCCGCACTCACGCAGCTTCCACGCCGTCTTCGTGGTGACGGCCACGGCCATGGCTCAGAGCGGCGCCCCTGGGGCGGGCACGGCTGCAGCGCCCTCCTCCTCCCGGTGAGGCTCCGCTCCGCTGGCGCGTCCTACGGCCGGGCCGTGCACCGGGGCTGCCCCGGCCGCCCTGCGGGCACACACAAACACGGTCACGGCGAGACCCTCCCGAGCGGCGGCGCGGCGGAGGGCGAGGCCTCACCGCTGATGAACATCACGGGGCGGGAGCGCTCCTCGGGCCGTCGTGGGGGATCGTCTGGACGCTGGTGGCGGCGGGGCCCGGCGGCACCGCACCGGGACCGGCACCGGGACCCCCCCGCCTACAACCGGCCCTTCACAACAACCCCGCGCCGCGCCGGGCGGTTGCCCGGGTTGCGCGCGCGGCTTGGCCAATAGGAAGCGAGGGCGGGGCGGTTGCCATAGCGACGGTGCAGCGGCGTCCACTCGCAACGCGGCTTCTTGGGGGAGCCCTTCGAGCGCTGCCAATGAGGAGGCGGCGTGCTGAATGGGCGCCGCCATCTTGCGGAGCCGCCCTGAGGGGCGGGGTTCGGGCCGCGGCCGGGAGGGGTCGCGGCGCTTCGGCGGGCGATCCTCCGCGGAATCGGAGCCTGGGGCGGCTTCGCAGCTTCCATGGGGGCGGCCTCGGTCCTTCCCAGGCACTCTTAGCGTGTCCCAGGAGTTAGTTCCCGGATGCCACGGGCACAGACCCTGAGGGAGCGGGTCTCCCGTGAGACTTCTGCGCCTCCCGCCGCCCGGCTGAGGTGCGGTCGTGTCGTGCCGCTTGCGCGTGTTTCTCGCCGTCTCTGAAGCCAATTACTCCCATCAACAGAGAAAATCAAATTAGTTTGGCGCTACTCCTTGATCATGGCCCAAGAACGCTGGCAGAATTCTCAAGGATCACCCCCTCCAAGCTCGGGAGCGATGCATCCCGACAAGGAGGAAATCGGGCAAAAATGCCAGGAGGCCTCCGTGGATGGATAAGGAGCTGCTGAGCAAACTCAGAGCTAAAAAAGAAGCTTTCGGGAAGTGGAGAGGAGGACAGGTGGCCTGGGAGGAATACAGGGAAATCCCATGGCAAGGGGGGTTGGGACTAGATGATCCATTCCAACCCCTTAACATTCTATGATTTAATAATATGCTGATGTTTTGGCAGCTGCTCTGTCCCTAATGACTGTAAAAATATTTTTAAATTAATTTATTCTGGTGCCTTTTCTGGTATTGAATTAACAAGGATGAGTTCATAACCACAGTGCTATGTGTGGGTTTTGTCATTGGAGACCTCTAAATGAGATGAAAGAAATTTTATGTTTGTGGTGAACTCACCAGTTCAAAATCTTGGCTTGTGCAAAACTAAATTATGAATTTGTTAAAATATTATTATGTTTGAAAAGAACCGGTATTCCCAAATAATCCTGCTCCTGATGTCAGCAGCTATGGATCAGGTTTGGGGAAGAAAAGCCCTGAGAGACAGTGTCAGACTTGAGTCTCAGACATGATGGGATTTCGTGTGGAGGGAATTGATGTACCTGCAGATGGGCCTTAGAACAGAAGAGGGAAAAGAAAAAGACACAATGCTGCAAGTTCATTAAAATCTCCTGATGAATCTGATGATTTTGAGATTACTGCAGGCAGCTACAGAGAAGGAAGGAAGGGAGAAGTCAGTCATGCCCAGCCAGGCGGGGGTTCCTGAGCAGCGCCTCTTGAAGAGAATGGGATTTCTGTTGTGCCAGCTGCTTTTCCCTGTAACAACAAGGGGGATATCAGAGGAAAACTGCAGTGGGAATCAACCATTTTGCAGAACAGCTTCAGTGCCAAGTTCCCAGGGGGCTGCCTTGTAGACCTTCCCTGGGCACTGCTCAGGCATCATTCCCAATACCTGCTGGGCCTCTGCTTGAGTCTGGGCATACTGGCGCTGGTTGCAGCGTGATGGGCACGGAATTCATCCTCCTCCCAGCTCTTGTTCTCTGAAACAAGAGAGCTCTGGGAGCTCCTCTGCCGCTTTTCCAGTGCCTGTGAGGGAACAAGCAACCAAAAGTCAGGGAAATAGAGAGGGAAGTGAGGAGCAAAGGCACACAAAAGCATAACTCAAAGTCCAGGGAGCTGAGATGAAAGAAACCACAAACTGGAGCTGATTTATTTTCAGGGAGAGGCAAAAAGTTTGAGATGAGGTCTCATGAGAACAAGAAAACAAGGGGAGTCAAAACACGTGGAACAGCAAGAGGCAGCAAACTCCCAAAGTGTTGCCTCCCTAGAGTCAAGAAGCCCTGGAGAACCAAACTGGATCTGGTTGAGATAAGGACTAAATTTCACTGTGGAGCTATTTTGTTCTTTGATCTCACATGCTAAAGATAAAAAAAAAATAAATTTTATATATATATATATACAGGCATGGCTCTCTTAAAATACTCCCCCCATAATCCCTATTATCAAGTAGTGCTTCTTAATTATTTTCTTTATTAACTAAACAAAATAAACCAGTAATCTTTCTCAGTAATGTGAGTTTTTCCAGAAAGTCAGAAGGTGACCATAGCATAACCATGTTATATTTCCCTGGGAAGTCAACTGAAGCTGTGCTGACTTACACCGTACTGGGATTTGTCCCCCAATATATTTTAATGATACTAAAAGCCCTTCAGAGGTAATTCCTCAGAGGGAAAAAGCTTACTCTGGATTCCTTTGGGTACATGTATGAAATGCTGGCATGAACCTACCATGGCTTCGTGCTGACATTCTCTCCTTGCAGCGTTATACATTGAAACTGTCAATTTAATATTGGCTTCTTCATCCTCACGAACCTTCAAGACATTTAGCACCTTCCAAAAAATCAGAAGAAAGACCCCTCAGCTTTCCCACAAAATGACTGTACTTTTACATGCTTGACCTGCTACCAGAGCAGGTGCTGCATACAAGACTTGTACAATAAGGGTAAATACATATCTATACAAATATGTTCATATCCTGTGGGTAGATCAAGCTGATAGTAGTATTAATTTTAGATTGTTACACCGTATGAAATTCTTGAACCCCGTTATTGATAATTGATAAGAAAGCTTTCCTGGAGTCACAGTCTTGGCACTACTTTTGAAACGGCAGCAAAAGCTTTGGCTTATACTTTGTCTTATACAGGATATGCAGCACAAGCAGTGTGAATATTTTGTCTGTTGATACATCCAGACTGAGAAATTTGCAAGGTAGTTCATGAGGTCACAGTGAACTACCTTCAAATTTCTGGGGAAATCTTCACCAAACAATGGCTGGGGAGCAAGCATGATCATTCAGCATAGAGACCAACTTTGTGACACCAGAGTCTTATTTTTACCACAGTTTATGCTGAGGATGCTTTGGCAACCAGTCAGCTGAAACTGTTTCCACGCCTGATCAACTCTGACAGTGTTGCACCTCCCTCTTACCTCTGCTTCAGATTCCCGGACTTGATGCTTCAGCTCCTTCTGTTCCTTTCTCAGGTCCCACAGCAACTTGTACAGATGGAGCACGTTCTTTTGTTTCTCAGAGGACCATGGCTGGAAGCAGATAAGTCAGTGTAAAACAGCAGCACTGTCTGGATCCATGGGATCAGGTACTCTGCTGAGAGAAACTGGCACAATCCTGCCATAGTCAACAAGGTGACTGATTTCCAGCACTGAAGCATCGAACCCATGGTCAGCATGGGTTTATTAGACTTAATTTTGATTGGGAGTCCATCAGTAATGTGAGACAGATGGCACGTCTTGCACTTTGCTAATGCTGCTGGTGTATGGTTGGAACAGGTTTTGCAGGGTTAGAGATGGAGCGATGGGACCCCAGCAATTGTTTTCTGTGTATTCTCCCCAGTGGGAAATAGAAATTAAAACAAAAGAGCCTGCATAACATTAAAAAAATCCTGTATTTGCAATCTCTCTTTGGTTTCCTTAAGTGTAATTGTGCAGCATCACTGCAGAATTTACTGACAGACTTCTGCCCCTGGTTACAGACTCACATCAGTGATGTTAGTGGAGTGACTGACCCCTGGCCCCTAATGACATAATTTGGCTTACTGACAGCACTTCAGTCTTTTTGAAATATCTTTTATTTAAGGCTATCTATCTATCTACCTATCTACCTATCAGCAATGTATTAAGCCTCAGCATCTTGCTCTGTGTCTGCAGGGTAAACACTGGAGATTTAAGGAATGATGGGGCCCAAGAAATCCATGGCAAAGACAGAGCTAGAACACAGGGTGTCTGCCTCTGCTGCTCTGCTCTATCTCTTCTTGAAGAGGGAACAGCAGAGGAAATTTCAGCTGCCCTGCCCTGAATCCACAGAACTGAGCCCAACAGCTGCTGAACCTGCATCTTGCAAGATCCCAGGGGCTGTGGGATCTGCCTGATGACCAAGTCTGGGAAGATGACCTCAGAGGAAGCCTGTCACACCACACTACGTCCTGCATGCCCAGTCACTCCCAGCATGGCAGGGCAACTCCAGGGCTGTCCATGTTGTGGACAGGGGCTGGGAGGGAGGTGTGCAGGTGGAGCAGAGGGGCAGCATGGAATATGTCATACTTGTAGTTCTTCCACTGACATTTCACCTTCCCTTTGTGTCCTGTGATCTAAAAAGATTTCAAAATAAATGTAGTTTTTCTTCATACCTGGTATTTGACACACGTGTCTCGGGTCAGGAAGATTTCCTCTCCTTTCCTATCCCTCTGTATTGCTCTGAGGAAAGCCACCTTCGAGGCAATGGTGTCGTGATCCTCGAGGTGATATATCAGCTGGATGCTGTCATCTTCGATCATAAAGATACGTTCCTCTACATCTTCGTCAGCAGGCTTTTCTGGATTTCTGTGGAAGCGCTCCTTGATTTGCTAATGGAGGGTGAAAAAAGATATTGAAGCAGCTTAGACAACACAAAACTGGCAAGATTTACAGAATTCAGTAAAAACCCAAGGTAAAAATTGTGCTTTTCTGCCTGGACTACGATGGCATCTCTTGGCCAGTGGTGCTACTGTTCTTGCCTATGTCTGAAAAAATCCAACCACAAAGCTGTTCAAGGCAATACAGAAGTCTCCTATTTGTGGAGCTCCAAGTTAGCTTGGGATGCATCCCTGCCTGAGGCAACTGCAGGGAACAAGGTATTTTGGTGCACAGCAAAGTTTCCCACATTTCCCAACACAGGAAAGGGAAAAGTAGTATGTTGGGTGCTGATCCAAAGACAGGCCACTGCATAGTTCTGTCTTGGCAGCTGAAGTATCTGAGTCATACATACTGACAGATGTCAGATTTCCTCCTCCTTCTGTTCTGTAAATCAGACCTGACAAGAGGAAGAGGTAAATTACCTGCTGGTAACAAATCAGAGTGATGGGACACTTCATCAGGAACCTAAAATGGTATTAGCTTGGGCTCAGCACACAAAATCATTTTACTAGTTTTGAATCTTGTGAAAATTTTGTTCCAAAGTCATAGTCAAGCTTTTTTTCCTTCCTCTGACACACACTTTCCAAGCCATAGTTTCCTAGTTTCATTCAAGCAGCTCGTGACAACTGGTCACACTGTAGCTCTCTGTCAGACAAGCAACTGTGAGCACAGCAGCTGGACAAGGCTTGGACGTCTCATCTGGAGCTCTGCCTCGGCCGTGCCCACTGAGAATGAACCAAAGCCCCAGGCTGTATGCTTTGCACAGTATAAATATCAGAGTGACACATATTTTTCTGTTCCTGCCTTGGCCGTACCACTATAGGCCGGAGGTGAACGTCAGGTCTGGTGCCAGCCATGTCCATTCCGTTCTCCCTTTCGCCGAACTCCACGTGCCGGATGTGCAGGAAGTCATCCCGCCCCACGAAGTACTCGGTCATCTCAGTAGCGCTTTCAACACGTTTCCGGAGGTCATCAGCTCGTGCCTTATGGTAAAACTCCATCGTGTGTCCAGTCTCTGGTTCCAGCGACGTGTAGGTGTGAGCTGAGGACGTACCAGATACATTTTCAGAGTTAGCACACCAGCCGGTAAATCAAATTCATGTAAGAGTGTAAGAAGGGAATGTTACCTCCTCACTGCTGTGTATCAATATGCCATGGCCTAAGGACTGCAGGACAGTTTTTCAGGGCCACTGCCTCCCTTATACAGTAAGGCAGTAGTGAGGGGAGCCTGGACCCTGCTCTTCCCAAACCAGGAATGGACACGGCCACTTTGGGTGAAATGCTGCTTTAGCAAAAGATTTGATGCAGGACTTTCCCCCAGCTGCACAACACCGAGAGACCAAACACAACCCTGAGAAAGTTTCTACTTCTATCACCTCTACTGGTAAAAGTACATTGTATCACCCCTATGATAGCTATGTATTTTTCTAATATATAGAAAAGCACATAGCTGGGGGAGCACTGCCCAGGACTGGAAGCAACAACCCAGTTCTCTACTCTCTACTGGAGAACATATTATTTATCTAGGCAATTTAATCCACAAATTCCCTGGTGATCCCCACACCCCCTGGCCCCTCTCTTCAGCTTTGGGCTTCTGCCACTGCTAGAAGGGATTCATGTAAAGTCCCATGAGCTGCACTGACTGCTCAGATGTGCTGGAATACCTTTAAGAAGGAGGGGATGTCCTGGTTTGAAATAGTCTGTGGTCAGCTGTGTTTGTTTATTCGTTTCTCTCATATCCAACATGTCTTCTCGATTTTTGAACCACTCTGTCACCTCCACTACTTCAGTACCTGGCAGGAGACAAGTCATTTTGCAACCTTAGCTCACCCTGTGGGACATAGTAAAATTCATTGAAGGAGCCCTCAGTGTCTGTCCAAGTACCCTGGGCTCCTGATGTAGCCACAGTGGACATAGTATGGTCACTGGAACTGGCCCTCTGCACAGGGGTATTCTGTAGATGAATCCTAATCTACATTTGAATTATACCTTAAAGAGGGTTTATTCCTCTCCATCAACCAGAACTTAGCTAAATGAATCAGCTCAGGGGTAGAACTTGCCATGGCAGATGGCTATGGTTAAGCAAGAGAAATTCCATCCCAAATATTTAATAATAGTGTCAGGAGCAAAAGGAAATGAGACTGGAGCTATCCAAGAGGGCTGAGGGCAGGACACTGTATGTCCACCCAGGAATCTGCATGGTTTCTTGGACCAGTGCTGAAGAATAATGCTTTCAAGAACAGAGATATCCTCAGGCTGTAGCTGCCCTTTTCTATGGCTCCTGTTGACACCAGTGGGGATAGTGATACTACTGGATCAAATCAAACCAGCCTTCCAATTTCTGAAGACTGAAAATCCAAGCAGCTGACCTGTGACACTGAACAGCTTCACTGGAGTGTAAAATAGATTCAAACTCTCATGGAAATTTTTAGCAATGCTGGAAAGTTCCGGGGCTTGACCAACAGTGAGCGTGATGAAAAGTTTGAGGATATGGTAGATAAGTCCCCCACAAATGTGAAAGGAGGATGAGAAAGCACAAGAGAGACTGGCAGAAAAGGGGCCACCTCCCCCTTTCCATCAGCACGCCCAAGGCTGTGTTTGCTCAATGCATGGGGTGTGTTCACTCATCCCTCTTACAGTCCAAGTCTGCGTAGACGGTGAGTCGTTCCACCAGCCCATCTTCATTCACGTATGGAGCCCATTTCTCCAGTTTTGCTTGCTTGTACAGGATCACCTTCTTCCCTTGGGAATACTGGTTCTCAAATTCTGCAGTGTGCAAGAGAGATGTCAGAAAAATTCACTCCCTTCTACTCAGCCCAAGAAAAAAAAATTTAAGAGGAGAAAACCACGGTCTAAGGGACAACAGGTATTTATTGATTGCCTTCTGCTGCCAGCAAGGCTGTTCAGACCCTGTCTGTTGTGCTTTAAGTTACAATGGTATAATAATTCTTTTCTCTCCCAAAGCAGGTATTTGATAATGCAGGGGCAGTCCCTTGTGCATAGGGGGAACAGAAAGACCATCCCAGCCAAAATTCCCAGCTGGCAGGAAAACACAGTGTGGGTGTGTGTCTGTGGGGGGGTTCCCAGGTGAGACAGTGCAGCATTGAGGGCAGGCATTCGAGCCAATAGCTGTTGTTGCCTTCATCTACTGCACTTCACTGCTACACCTTGACTATCCTGAAGGGAGAACTCTCAAGTGAGATAAACCAATGTGGCAAATCCACTGAAAGTTTAGCTGGGGGGCAAGAAAAGGCACAGGAAGAATACATACCTCTGCAAGACACATTAATTCGGGCTACCCACGATAGTGGCATCTCAAAACTCATGTCAGAGTTTTCCTTCTGAAACAGAAGCAGAGATTTGTGGGTTTGGCAACTTCTCTTAGTGTGCCAGGAGGCATTTTGGCTCTAGAGAGTGCAGCACAGTGATCAGAGCTCAGCACATGAGAGGCTAAGGGAACACAGTGGCAGTTATAAGAGCACATCTCTAGTCAACCATAATTAGATTATCTTTTCCTGGCTAATGCTCGTGCTGGACATGGGATGAATGTGACAGTTGCCATAATGACCAGTTTATTTTATTAAGACCATGAAGGATGCTTTGCTCCCCAGTTATGAGCACAAGCTGAGAAGAGTAGATAGCAGGAGGGAATTGTTACTGGCATTCCTCTGTCCTGCTGTGCGGGTGCAATGCCTGCTTTATCACGCTGTCTTCTCCCAGCAGGACAACATACCATTTTTTGCTTCCAGTACACAGCACTTTTTGGTATATTTGAGGACATAGATTATTTCTGTATTTGGTTGGCAGCTCCACCTCACAGCCAGGAGGGCAGGGTGCTGACCAACACAGAAAGTGTGCATAAAAATTTCAGTCTGGATTTTTTCTTTTTTTTTTTTTTTTTAATTACTTCGCCCCAAAGGTCCATGCACTGGAGACATACAGAGCTCCCCAGCCACTTAGGACACCAGAAGTACCACTGCTTCAGAAAACATCAGAAACTCTCAGAACTCTTCAAGGCTGAGAAGCAATCTGAAGTGCCAACCCAAACCTGGCCAGAGTAGCAGTGATCTGACCTGGAGAGGGCAGCAGGCAGACAGACATACAGGGGCCTATGGACACACTGACTGGATACAGCATCCCCACTGCACGAGAGCCACCTTTGGGTCACTCACCATGTCACCTATGTCTCTCTCAGATGACTCTGTGAGCAGCTTGTTGCTCTCTGGAAGCATAATTTCCCAGCGGATGGCGTCACTCAAGTCAAAGCTGAGATCCTAGGCCATACAGAGAAAAACTCTTTTAATTCCAGGGCAGTCTCAAGGGCCTGACACTAAACTGAACACTGCATTGGTATGTCTGTGGTGCTCTGGACCTGGCTGGGTGTCAGAGAGTTTAAGGATTTCAGAGACCTAAATCTCAATGAGGTGAGCTCATCACTCTTGGCTGGCTGGTGGGACCCCAAAGACCGTCCCTGCACCTGGAGGCTGCAGACCCCTTTCCTCCTGGTGCCTCTGCCACAGATGAGAGCAAGTTGCTGGAAATGCTTCTGCCTCCTTCCTAGGGGCATGCTTGGCCCAGAGGGCAAGTTGCTCTGACTCAGACTCTCATCTCCCAGACTTTGTGTCAGCTGGGGAGTAGCTGAGGTGTGGGAAGAGCCTCACCAAGATCTTTCCTGCCTTGAGCCATGCCTGAGAGGCTCGAAACACCCTCTGCCTCAGAAACTCTTATTTGAGA